TAGGTGGATGGCGGCTCCGTTGAACCTCGTAGTAACAGCCTCGATCCCCACCTTCTCTATTTGTATGTGCTGTGCGACAGGGGCCCACCAACCAGTTAGGGTTGGGCTTCCCCGATCAGGGAGCAGAGGCAAGGGCCCAATAGACCGTTGGGCCTATTGGTGGAGATCAACTAACAGAAACAACAAATATTTTGAGAGATCGCTGGATACCGGGAGCCATTGGCGGCAAACCTATCTGTCCGCGACCTGGGGCTACGGCTCTGTGGGTTTGTGAGCTGCTAACAGCCGATGGCGTTAGCTGGAACTCACAAGCTCTCGCTGAGAACTTGCTGCCTATGGATGCACAAGCAGTGAAGAGGATTCCGCTGGGTCGGCGTCAAGGGGACTTCTAGGCTTGGTCCGTCGAGCGCCATGGTTTATACTCAGTTCGGTCGGCATATCGCCTGCTAGCGGAGCAAGAATCCCATGAGCGAGACCATAGAGAAGTCCGGGCATCACATTCGGTGGCTGCCGATGACCCTTTTTGGCAAAAATTGTGGAAATGTAAAGTTCCTCCGAAAGTCAGAGTTTTTTTGGTGGAGAGTAGCACATGACTTCATGCCATGCCGTGCTAACCTTCATCGAAAGCATATAGATCCATTGCCGACCTGTAAAGTTTGTGGAATGGAGGATGAGACGACTTATCATGCACTCACCCAGTGCACGTTTGCAGTGAAGTTCTGGGACAAGCTTAGAACCCTCACTGGCATCAAAGTCCCTAAGCTATGTCCTAGTACTTGGACACGAGATTTGCTGGACAACTCTCTATGCAGTGAGGGAGATAGAAGGGTAATTATATGCGGTATGTGGTCCTTGTGGAGAAGTAGGAATGACCCGGGCAAAGCTCTAGAATGGACTATCGATACCTGCAGTGAACTTGTTAATGGCTTCAAGGCGGCCACTTGAGGAGAGGCGACACAAGTAATGCGCTGGCAGCTGCCAGAAGACGGGCACTACAAGATCAACGTTGACGGGGCGTTTTCCCCTGAGTCCAACTCTGGTGCGACCGGGGTAGTAATGCGCAACAGCACAGGTTCTTTGTTGAGGGCATCAGCACGTTGGTTAGATTCCACCGGCTTGGCGCTTTTGGCAGAAGCCGAAGCTTTTCGGGATGGCGTCCGAATTATACCAGAAGGAACAACTGATCATATTGTACTGGAAACCGACTCTCAGGAACTGGTGGCGCTGTGGAAGAACAGAGGGAAGCAGCGTTCAGAGATCAAGGCGATACTTGATGATGTTGAGGGGATGATCTCCAACCTTACCTCGTTCCAGGTTGTCCATACCAAAAGAACGGCGAATTTTGCAGCACACCTCTGCAGCCAACATGCTTTTTCTTTTCGAGCTTCCTTTGTTTGGGCTGAGTCCCCTAGCTTCTTGCAGCCTTGTCTGCAATTTGATTGTAATAACGCTGTTTAATCAATGAAGCGAAACACCTAGAATTATATGATGTCTAGATATATAACAAAAGCTATGTATCAAGAAAAGCCAGAAAGACTTATAATTTAGAATGGAGAAGGTAGGAGAAAAATAATCCATGGCTGACAACTGGGCCAGAGTGTGTGACATTACACATGCTTCTTCTTGAAGCTATGAAAAGAAACATGGGCCGCAACTAGGCCAGTGCACCCACGCCATACTTCAAGCAACATGTTACAGTCGGTAGACAAGTGATCCATTGGTTTAAATTTTTCATACATAGCGTGAGTAGCCTCACAAAATACTATATGTGAGTCTGTAGACAACTCAAACAAATCCGAGCTATTGATTTTTTTATATTTTTATAAAATAAATAAATAAATCTAATAAATGAGAAAAATCGCAAAGCACTGCTTCATATGTGATGGTAGGTCATCAAAACTAAGCTTGAGTGTCGGTAAGATTCCAATTCTATCCTACTTAGACGGAATGACACTAGAAAAACACAACTTTGCTCGGCACACGCCGAAAAGGATTGTCTAGCCTGGGAGGGGAGAGAGTGCATGGTACATTGACCAATCTGCCCTTGGTCTCATCTAGTAGCCCAGATATCACAATAACTGACGAGAAATGCATAATGCATGCATCTTCCGTATTGGTGATCAGCATTTCACACAACTAAACTAGCATAATAGGTTCTATCGACTTGGCACAATTGAATTATCGATGGAATTTGCACCAAGGGCATTGTACCCTGTATCTCAACTAGACCCATGGCTATGAACCATAAGTGGAGATGTATCTCCATTGACGGATTCTGTATGGATTTTTTAATGTACTAGCAGTAACCTTAAAAACCCGCCAGCATAGATATATTTCACTTATAACTTTGTTAACCTGACGCCATTACAAACAATTTGATTTTTTTTAAAATTTTTGAAACGATGTTAGGTAAAGAAATGACCTGAACCAAAGTTTTGGTACTAAAAAATATCTGTAACTTTATAGTTGACTACTTTTTAATTTGAAATTATTTAGAGCCAAAAAAATATGTTTTAAGATTAGTGATTTTGAAGTTAATTTTTCTGTGATTTTTTCAAACGACCTCGGCATTTATAGTATGCAAAGAGATATAAAAATTTTCAATTTATTTTTTCATTTGAATTTATTTTAGATGCAAATATGTATTACAATATATTTACTAAAATCAATGAAAAGAAATGTATTAGCTTTTAGTGTTAATAGATCCAAACATGCACTAAGTTATGACAAGCTACACGTATCTAAAAAAGCACTCTTTAGGTTGTTGCTATTTTTCAGCTAAAGTCTCAGCTGTCACGCTTTCACGCTCCAAATTGCCAAGGTTTGTAGGGCATGGCATGAACAATTCCATCACTGTCCCACATCGAAACAAGCACCGACCAGCAGAGGCTCAATATATGGAGATATGACAGGTACGTATCCTTCACCACGCGCCAACGCGGTAGCGGACGCTAGCTAGCACTTCTCCAGAGCCGTAATTTCTAGGAAAAAAAGCGTGTGCACTGTGCCACTGTGCAGTGCTACTCTGAACGCGCGCGTGAGCGTCGGGTGGGTCGCCCGGGCCCCGACCAGTCACGGTCAGTATGGAATGTCGATCGGCATGTGAAAGGAACAACATACGTAACGTACCAAAGCGAGCTTTGCTTTGACCAGTGTCAAACCAAAATTGTCTTCTTTCCTAGTGTCATCACTGTAATAAGGTCTTAAGCCGCGGTTAAAACGATTGGATTGTTTCCACCACAAGCTAAAATGAGTGAAGACAGTAATAACTCTATCTCTATCCAGAAAAGATACAATTGTAATTACGTATTTTGTCAAACTATATAAAACTTTATTAAATTTATTACAAAGTATAGATATATGCTATAAAAATGTATTCTGCAACAAATATAATGGCAGATATATACTATAAAAATATATTATGTAACAAATATAATGACATATATTTAGTATCATATATAATGTTGTTTTTTATATAACCTGATCAAAATTCAGACATGTTTGGATCAGCACAGTACTAGTCTCCTAGAGTCCCATTCTTTTTTAGGAGAAAGAGAGTACTATATATCATATGTGCGTGTATACAATTCAACTGTTAATGTACAAGAGAGAAAGAAAGTATAAAAGTGGTTAGGGTGATTTGGAAATAGTTCGTGATTCCTGAGGCAAACTTGCTTTCTATATATATATTTTAGGAGTGTGTTTTTGAAAACTGTTGAAGGAACCAAACAAATGTACTCCCAATTTTTTTAGCCACTTGGAAAAGTCATTTATTTATCAATTATTTTTAGGAACTATTGGAGATGCTCTTAGAGCTCCATTCAAGCATACATGTGCATGCAAAATTTTAAAAGTAACAAAGGTTTGTACAAGGAGAAAAAAGAGAGAGAAAAATAATGATATAATTGGGTCGGCTACACGCTATTTACCTGGATCCACAACCCGCATCAATTGCGTCCTGATTTTTTCTTTTTTTTTCTCCTTGTAGAATTATTTGTTCATCCTTAAATTTTGCATAAAGACAGATACGTGCATCATCTATCCATTCATATATTTTGTTGAATATTTCATGCACTTTTTGATGATCTTTCTAAGTAGGAGCATGGGAGCACATGATATCTTCCCGAAGAAACCATACCAATGCAAACAATTTTTAAAGAGAATCTCAGAATTCTACAATTGGTTTCCTAGTCTACATCCAGAAAAAAACTGATTTCGCCATTTCTTATAAACAAGAAATAGTTTTTTGAAGAAAATCCTACCTATGTCAAATTGGGCTTCAATGTCCAATGGATAAGAAGCAACTTATTTAATGGGCCTAGGCTTACATGCTTGTTGTGGGCCCCTTCTGCGTGGCTGTGGGCCGCTTTCACGTACATCTCTTTTAAAAAATCAAATTGGTGGAAAATGGTCCATGGATCAATGACCAATCCTGGTGCAGTGAATCTACACCGAAATACAGTTCGAGCACCAAATGGGCCCACCATTGAGCTCCTAAAGATATGGAGAGCTATGGTCGCAGCATCAGATTGCAGAAGAGAGCAGACCAGGCTCCTGATCTGATATTAGCTTAGCTGTCCGCTGGATACTGGAGACAGAGACAGCAGAGCACTAATCACCCCCCTATATGAGCTTAAGCTGCCTAGAAAATTCGAAAATACAGTGGTGCTACTAATTACCGTTCCTGTAAAAGTTCTAGCAGCAGAGTGCAGAAATTGACTTAATTCAGTTCATGTTGTACTATCTCTAAAATCAAACCTCCATTTCTCTCAAATATTCAAAGATAGTACATCCCTGATCATAATTCATACAGTAGATCAAAGTCAGATAACCATAGGTCTCAGCTACTTTAAACATTGTAGGAGTAGCAAAGAAGAATAAGACGACCTAAGACAGAGCCCAACTTTAGGACAGAGTAAAGCCTGAAACAAAACTGAAAAAACAAAAGGGAGCATGTGAAATCGTTGTGCGCATTAGCCCCACACTGTACTGCCTCCATTCTAACAATCATCAGCAGGCAGGCCCATCTCCTTGGCTCCTAGCTTGAGCACATCCCTGCTGCTCTGTTTCTGAAACAGAGAACAAGTGTTAGTAGTATGTATAATAGAGACAAACATAGAAAACAAACTGAAGGGCTGTGCTTGAGTAGAAACGAACACAAGTGACAAGTCACAACCTCCATAGTTCTTCAAGAGCAGGAACAGTGGCCAGATTTCTGCTTCCCATTCAGTGGTGGCGTCATTCGCGTTTCCTGTCCTACGGCGCTTGCTTGTGCAGCTCTTGTTGTGCCTCCACAGGTGAGAGGTGCCATTCGTAGAGCGACCGCTACCGTACCCCCTGTCACAGGAGTGGCACACTACGTACACCACTGCACAATCTGTGTCGTGAATCTTGGTGAAGTGCATCCAAACTTCTGATTTGCGGCAGGAAGCAGCACCAGTCCTCTTGCGCTTCCTATCAATGGGAGTGTCCATGTAATCACTACTGGACGTGGCAGTTTCAGTGTTCGTGCCTTCACCTAATGTGAAAACAGAGCAGGGAGTGTCCATGTAATCACTGGGCGTGGTAGTGTCAGTGTTCACGCCCTCACCTAACGGAAAAACAAAGCAGGGAATATTAACAGTCTGGTTGTGCAAGAGAGGAACGTTCAAATGTGCGGCCGGACTAATGAAGAACTCATATTACCATTGGAGTGCCCCTCATCATCATCATCATCTCCATTTAACCACCTGTCCAACTCAATGAAAGCAGATGAGACCGCATCTTTGTCATAGCGGAATACCTTGCGAATCACCGTGTCCCCCTACAAGCAGTAAGCACGAATGAATGAAGCATGCATAATAAAAACGAAAGCATGGCAACGGTGCTAAAAAAATGTCACCTACCTGAAGAAACAGGGCAGGGGATTGGATATCATCCAGCTGTTGGTATTCCAGCATGATCCAGTTCATCTTCCTGCCGTCCTGATGGTGAAACTCCAGGGTCCTCCTCAGCCCCATGTACTGCGGCACCGGCACCATTTGGATCGCGGCGATCTCCTTGTCAATGTGCTTCCAGCACCCCTTCTGATCCATCCGGATGGCAGTGAACTCCTTGTTTATCTCCTTCCAGTGCCCCCCTTGCGTCTGCCGGTTCGACGACCTCGTGACGTACCAGGGGGTGGGGCAGGTGAGATTCAGATCCCAAGGGTCCAGCTGGGTGAGATCCTCTTGACAGTCGAGCTTCACGTCTATCTTCTGTTGCTCGTAGGGATTGTCGAGCGCTGTGCGGAGAAGGTGCAGCATTTCACGGTCCTCGTCAGTGGAAGGATTAGTGCAGGTTGATGAGCATGTGAGAATGTGCCTTTTGAGGTGAGACGTGCCATGTTTCTTGGGATGAGCCTTCAGCACTTTATCACAGCGGTGGCACGCTGCGTACACCTCGTTGGCACTACGAATCTTGGTGAAGTGCTTCCAAACATTATCTGATTTCCCATGGGGACCGCAGTGCACTCCTAAATCTTCATGCAGCCACTCCGACGTTCGAGACATTCGAATCAAAGCTTTCACGCATGACTCTACCTGGCGGTAAAGAGAGGAGGCGTGATCTGTTCTGTTTTTGCATTTCTTGAATACCTTACGAAACACCACATCCTCCTACATGTATACATCGTCAGAAATGGTCAGATTGGTCATTAACATAGTTGTCGGTACGACGGTACTTAGCTTATAGCCTTATACCTGGAGAAACAAGGCTTCTCCGTCGTCGTCCTCGCGGAGGTGGTGGTACTCGTGGATGATCCAATCCGTCTTGGTGCCCTCTCCGCCCCTCGTGCCGTCCTTGAGGTAAAACTCTAGGGTCTTCCTAACCCCGACGTAGGACGGTGAGGCGGAGGAGGAGGAGGACGACGACTCTCCAGCCGAACGGATGGCGGTGAGCTCTCCTTCTTTCTCTTTCCAGTACCCAGAATGTGTCCGCAGGCTCTTCCAGTTGTTCTTTCTCAGGAGGAAGTATGGTGGGAGGTCCCATGGGTCGTCATGCTGGTACAAGTTGGCGTGCTTCTTCGCCATGCCGAACAGAAGGCTCTCGTCCATGGAGGTAGGTATATGGTGTTGAAATTGAAATTGAAATTGAAATTGAAATTGGGTTAGTTTGAGCTGGAACTGGAAGAAGCTAATCTAATCTGAGACGGTGGCGACAAGGGAAAATCCAGTGACAAGTTTGGGATTAGCTGGGCCAAGCAAGCAGAAGCCGGACCTGCGGAGGCAAGTATGGATGTGTCCAAAGCTTTGTTGCTATAGGTGGGAAGGAAAGAAGTGGGGGGATCGAGATAGCAAGTGTATCGGAGATGCTTGGCCTGCCTCGCCATGGCCGCCGCCTCCGCTCCTTTTGTAGACGGCCGGTCGGGCACGCATGTGCCGAACGCGCGCGTCGGGTTACCTTTACCTCTCGGGCACCCCCAGCCCGACGTGGTATGCTCCAATAGGATCGCTCCTATATATGTTTTTTTAGGAAGTGGCCTGAGTGCCATGGCTCGCGTCCATTCTGCCGCGATAATGGATCTAAGTATAGATGATGGATTTGCGAGACAGGATATATTTTATTGTTGTATCATGTATGTGTGGATGGATCGTGATAATGGATTTGTGAGACAGTTCTTGATTCGAGATCTGTGAACCAGCATGCCACCACCTCCCCCGGTCTCACAATTCCAATAAAGGCCAAACAACCAAATCTCACGGCGGGAGAGCAAACCAACATGCAGCCCTGGCCCGAGTGCATTATGGGAGTCCTTCCTAAAGCAATTGAAGTCCATGTGCATGAGTGCATTACAGGTAGCCCAAGTTGTTGAACTGAATCCCAGGGGCCGGATACTTGTGGCCGTAAAGTCCAAAAACTGAATCAGAGGCACATGCTGGTTGGATAGCATCGATCTTTCGCTCACAAATCAAGACAACCAGTTGCTCAAAAAAAAAAAAAAAAAGCAACCATCAACCATACTATAAAACAGACCCCTATATCGTATGAAACCGTTAAAAGTGGATGTGCACCAAGTTGTTCGTTATTATACGGTTGGTAGAGAAGCCTTGAAATAAAAAACAATATAAATGGCTAGCAGACAAAACGCGCTGCATCGCAGTCTGTACTGTGTAGCAATAAATTTATTAGGGCACTCTTAATCATAAACCATCTATTTCCTATGTTCATTAATTAGGACATCATCTAAGAAAAATGATTAATTAGTATTGGAATTAAAGAAAAACAAAAAGGAAATAGTTTTTTACATAAGAAACTATGTCCGTAGGGAACCAAGACATGAAAAGAAGTGATAGCGCAGATGATGGAGAATGAAAAATATGATTAGACAAAAATTTATTTTGAAGAAACTATACATTGAGAATATAGTTTCTATATGTAGTGCCTACATGATTTGACAAGTATAGAAACTACCCCATAGCTTCAAGCACTGGAACTGTCTCGCCCGGCCCGGTGGTTGACTGTGTGCTAGCGTGATAATAGGAGTTTTTTTTTTTGAAATGCAACAGGGGACGAAGAGTTCCCACCTACATATATTACAACACATTCCAGACATGATCTAGTGGGCGGAGGGTCAAGGACCCCATATGTTTGGCTTGGCGCCAATTACAATTTCGAAGAGAGAGGAGAGAAAGATTACATCCAAACAATTGATTTCCAGAAATTAGTGAGAAGGGGAGAGTCCGTAGGGATACAGCATTGCCAGAGGCTTGCTGTTGACTTGCAGGCCATCACTAGACGATCCACACTGGGAGGTAGGTTTCTGAACACCACATCATGACAGGAGTTCTTTATTTGATGATGATCCATATGCGTTTGTTCTTTTGGTCTTTTGCCTATAACATAACACAAAAGGGATGTACAAAGGTTCCCTGCACTCCGTCCTTTTTCTTTTTGCTTCAGGCCTGTTTGGAAGCCCGTTTGTCCATACCACTGTAAATCACCGGTGAGCTGAATCTTGTTGTCACCGTCTCCGAAACGCTAACTTTGCTCCGCGAGGTGTAAGGGCCAAGCAAAAAAATTAAATCAAGTAGCCTGTAGCCCTGGAGTACTGTCAGCACTGTGCATGGTGACAAGTAAACAGAAACGGAGGTACTAGTTGTTGTTTTTTTTTTGGTATGTAGTCGTTAACTTAGAATTGTTTGATTCCTGGGAAAGGAAGATTTCTGTTTTTTTTTCGTGTGCGTGTTTCGGGTGGTGGGTGACTTTGTCACAACCACTCCAAAAGTGATTGTCGCACCTATAGCACATCTCCACATCGGCCGCCGGGCATATATATGGGAGCCATGGCCCACGGCAGGCAGGTCGATCACGGTGTAAAAGTACGTACAGCAGATATCCCATTGACTAGGAAATTGAGACTGCATTCGGGCCGGCCCGTGGTGTGTCGTCAAGTCGTTGGTCGTCACCACCACTGGTCCCAAGCTACCTTTAATTACTTTAGCGCCAGCTTGCTCCAATCCTTGTGAAGGGTTAAAAAGACAAATAACAAGTATAAAATCGGTCTCATTTGGTTTTCTATAAAACGGGACTAATGGTCTTTGTTCTCTCTAAAGAAAAAAGTGTAACACCCTTAGTGCTCTGAAATGAGTAAAATTCAAAGAGCTACTCTAGGTGAACAAGTAAACGAAAACAGAAACAGATATAATAACTTCTCATTTCGGGCCGGGACAGGGAGAGCCTGATGCGGTACTAGGGGATACTGGCGCCGATAAAAGCCGCCCCAGTCAGCAAGCAGCAAATCGCCACAGCCCATCCCCTCCATCTAACGGGAGAACAAAAGCATGGAGTGTCCATGTAATCACTGGGCGTGGTAGTGTCAATGTTCACGCCCTATGGGAGTGTTAGTGTTCATGCCCTAACGCTAGTTCACCAATGTTGGATGCATAATAAGGGGCAATGTCCTCACTAACCTTCATTACGTTGGGAGCCCCTATGGGCAGTGTAGATCCGTCGGGTTCGATGGAGCAGGAGGCGCCGTCGTACCGGAGTGGATAGTCGTTGTTGTAGTCACCACTGAGCTAGAGTAGAATAGGGAAGAGGGAGAGAAGGGCGGGGAATGAACTAAGCGAGGGGCCAGGTGAGAGGATAAGGAGATAGGGACAAGACGGTCATTTCACATGCCCGATCCATGCGGGAAAGGTGACCTGGAGTGCCATGTCGCCAAAAGTGGCAAAAATGAAGCACATTTCACTGTCCATGTGGCAAATTTATGGGTTTCAAACTAAGGTTGGCCACTAGACGAGTGCCAACCACAAGAAGGGCAAAAATTTAAATTTTCGTAAATATATATGTTACATGCAAAATATTTTCTTAATGACTCATATACTAATGGTACTAACAAATTATTTGAAACTATATTAATAACAATGACATATATTTTATATAAGTTTTTACTTTAGATATGTTGGGACATAGACATATAAGTAGCGGAGGCTCCTACATAGCAACAACTGTCCGCATGTTTTCTTGGCACGCAGGTATAAAGGAAGGAGCCTTCGGATCACCAAGGGAGGCCTTTGCCTCTGATCACCGGTGAGGCGGAGGTCCAAGCACAGACTCTGAAGGTACACGGAAGAGCTCCTTGGCGGAGGTCGGAGACCGCGGGCGGAGGCTCCAGCAGTCTGGGCGGAGGCCCTGTGGTCCCCGCCCGAACGAAGGGAGCTCTTACAGCGCCACGGCCCAAAGTCAGAAATGGGCCTCCTATGGGCCTGATGGTGAGGCCCGAATGGCAAAGGCGGTGCGAGAGGAAAAGACCCAGAATGCACCTGAAGATTTGAACTGGTCCGACGATATTCCAGAAATGTACCCAAGCTAGCATAGGGCAAAGATGTACGATGAAATAGTAGCAAACATTGTCCTATAAAAAGGGGCAACCAAACCCTATGTAGAGGAGGTTGGTGAATGCATTTATAAAACCCTAATTGAGCCTGGACCCACCTACCACCTTCCTAACGTTCACCCAGGGCACCCGGCTGGGCGAAGGTTCCTCCGTGTCCCACCTACTGGAAACCCGATTTTTCAACATTGGCGCCCACTGCGTGTCGGCCAAGTAAAACCCACAATGGCAAGAAAGAGAGCAACCTCTGTAAGAGCACCTTCAGAGCCCACCAGAAGGGGGAGGCCCAGGCGTAGCACCCGCAACACCTATGCTACTACTACCGAAGAGCCAGACATCGAAGAAGACGCTGCGGAGGATCATCCTGCGGCGACCGAGGAGGAACCGGTGCAAGAACCAACCCCAGAGCAAGTGCTCCAACAGCTCCAAGCTCAATTGTAGAGTACGCAGCAGGAGAGAGGTAGGTTGGCAGCTACCTTTGCTGCAAACCAGAGGGTAGTCCAGGCATCACTGCAGGCAGCGGAGATAAGACAGTAGCTGGCTGTTCTGCAAGCTGAAATACAAAGCATGCAACCCACCCAGCCTCCTTCCAACGCACCCAGCTAGCCCCATTCAACAAATCAAAGCCAACCCAACCCTTTGCTAGGAATGGCCGCCCAACCAATCTTCGGCACTCCTTACACCTTACCATCAGTTCACAGAACTATAGATTCCAAATCCCCATTGTCCGAAGGAATCTAAAACTCACCCTGGCCCTCTTCCTATAAACCTATTACCCTACCCAAATTCAATGGAAGATCCGATCCACGCCAGTTCATCATAAGTTTCGAGGCAGCTGTAACCTCCGCAGGTGGGAACGACACTGTCTTGGCCAAGTCATTTGTTATTACAGCTGAAGGTGATGCATTGGCATGGTACTCAATGTTGAGGCCAAGTTCAGTATATTCATGGGAGGACCTCCGCGACAAGATCGTCGCTAACTTCAAAGGGTTCAGCACCGAATCCTTGACGTCAATGAACTTGTTTTAGTGTAAACAAAATCAAGGTGAAGCCCTAAAGGATTATTTTCAGAGATTTGTGCAGCTTAAAGAGAAGGCACCAAATGTCCCAGAGGATGTGGCAATTGAGGCCGCAATTAAAGGTCTCCGTATCAGAGCTTTCGTAGCTCATCTAGCTCGGGAGAAGCCAAGCACCATAGAAGAACTATATAGTGAGTTT